AATTAGTTTGGTTCACTTCCTTTTTCACAGTAGCAGTGATATGGGCGTGCATTGAGTCGCAGATGAACAGGGACGGTGATGTGTGCAACAAACTATCTGGTTTTTACCGGAGGCTTATGCTGCAGAACTCGGACAACAATTCTCTGATTGGTTTATTTCTCCTGGCGTATGCACTTTAATATTACGTAATGTCCTCTGATTGGTTTATCGCTGCCAGTGTACATACTGTACACCTTACTCTCTGTGTCAGGGACATATTTTGGAATTCAGTGCACACATAAGGCGCACCGTATTATAAGGTGCACTGCTGATTTTTGAGAAAATTTAAGGTTTTCAGTGCGACTTATAGTCCGGAAAATACGGTAAGAAGTTAAAATGTTGCTCAAACCGAAAAAAGACCGAGTTTCTTATGTTTTGGCTTTTTTAGTGCACTTCATGGATCACTAAACTATTTGTAATATCAAATATGATCCTAGGAAATATAAAAAACAGTTTTCAAATGTTAATTTTAATTAAGAAGTTAAAATGCTATCCAAACCACCCTAGTTTTATGTGAAAAAGTAATTTCTGCTTGATAAACTAAAAATAACTGGTTGTGCCACCTACAGGTGTAACAAGGTTTTCATTACCGTTCCAAGAATCAGTGACATTTAAAATCCTGCTGCAGCATCTTAATCAGATTTAATGGTTTACTCCCAGTTATTTTCTTCACCTTAGAGCAACTACAAATGAACATCAACAATTACAATGAAAACATATCAAAATTTGAGTCTGAACTAAGATAAGTTGATCAAAGCTGGATGGTGAAATGCTCCTCTTTACCATTTATGGAAGTTCAGATTGGGGGAGGACAAGACCTGCTAGCTTCTGTTACTACAAGATAAATAGATGAGTTTTTTGTTTTTTTATAATGATCAACTGAATTTTTAAAAGTAAATAAATAATCATTAAAATAAAACTAGAATACAAACACCCAAGGACAGCATTCTTTCTCCATCAGTTACTGTTAGATTTGTAGTCTTAAATAAAAACCTAAATGAAAATTATCGGTATCAGTATTGTTGTCAGCGATACTGACCTTTTATGTACTTGATATCAGATCGACTCCAAAAAATGCATTATCACACAGCGGTAATCCACTCAAACTTTTAATCTGGCATGGAAGATCAAAAGTTTACAGCAGCAACGCAAACTTTTTCATTTGACAATAAAAAACTATAAAAAGCTCCAAAGCTCACCTACTTGCACTGAAAAATGACTCCATTCAGTGTCATTTAACTCAGAGGATCAAACCCAATTTTCATAATTTTAATCTTATATTGTTTAAAGCTAAATGATGAAATTTTAACCACTTTATTGTCTAAAATAGCTTGACCCACTTTAAAAAATATGATGGGATACCTCAATTTGACGTAAGAAATTTTTTTGTCACATATAATGTAAATGTGCTTCTCTGTGGCCATTTATTGATTAATTCAAATATTGAATTAGTATTAACAGCCACCTTGTTCAGATTGGCACTTCACTCTATGGTTGATTACAGTGCAGGCCATTTCTATTAATCCTCAAATCCATGCCATGTGCTGCATTACACATGGCATGGATAAATACACATTTTTAAAAATAAAAACGAACCTCATCTTCATAAGTGAGAATGTAAATGCATTCTAAACTAAATGCAAGAAATGAATAATAATCATGATCTAACTAAATTAACCAAGGACAGAGTGATCTAAAGTTCAGTCAAAATAAGCAATAACAAATACTAAACACAGTTAACGAATTATCAAAACAATAAATACAGAAAAAAACACCAAGACAACCAAAGATCAGGAAACCCAGGACTTATGTTTTTCATGTTAGTCTTTGTCCCGTTTTTGTGTGTGTGTTTTCAATAAATGTTCAGTATTATTTACTTACATAGTGCTGCCTGGTGCTAACTAATTGTTTTATTTAACTTTTTTCCCAACACACAGAGGCATCAAACTAGCACTATTGATAGGCTGCCCTGTGAATAATCCTCATCGTATGGAATATTGTTTGCAGGATGCATATGTTGGAGAAATAGTAAGGCTGCAATATGAAAAGCTTGTACCGCTTTCACTTTTGCCCTATCCATTTGTCCCACATATTGATGGAGACGTCATACCATCTGACATAGAAGTAAGTCTCTACATATTTGCATAAATGATTTCTTCAAAAACTAAAGGACTGCAAATGTTTTACACATTACTTACAGTATTTGAATTGCAATGCTATGTAAATTACCATACCAAAAAATTGCTAAACAACAGCAAACCTTGTTTCATTGACCAAGGACCTCTAATTTTCTCCTCTCTTATGGAATTCCAAACATTCAAAGAGAAATGAAAATACTCTGACTCAACTACAAACTTATGTTTATTTTTTTTTTTAATATTAAGATTTTGTGGTAAATTCTTTTAGGTTTTCCACCGAATTGCACCGTAAACTTGTGGTCCTAGAAATGTGTTAATTTGGATATGGACAGACAACATTTTGCTCATGTTAAACCAGCAGTTATGTGGTTATTGTCTTAATGTTCTACTCACTATGAAAGTGACATTCATTGCCAATAAACAATACAATTCAACATAATTTCTAAAACGATCTTAGAGACCTATGTGTAACTAAAAAGTTTGACTTGACAATGTTAACAAGACAATTTTTAATTGAGGATGGGTCCAACATAATTATTTTAATCATGTCTTTTTTCATCTACAGACGTTGCTAAACCTCACTTCTCTTCCCACAAAAGAGCTGTTCATCGGCTTGAATAAAGATGAAGGAACCTTCTTTCTTTTTTATTCCATGCCTGGTTTCACTCTCAAGGGTGAAAGTTTAATCAACAGGAATATCTTTATGGATGGTTTACCACTAGTGGTAAACTCAAGTAAGATTGTTACAGAAGCCGCAATTCTTGACTACACTGATTGGCGAGATGAATTCAATACGAAGTCCAACCGTGATGAATTAGCTAAGATGGCTGGAGATTCGCTGTTTGATTGTCCTGTATTGAACTTTGCTACCAGGTAAGTTCCAGATCTCAGGTTAAGTGATAAATGCTTTTACATAGAAAAAAAAACATCCTCTGTTGTAACTGTGGTGTACATATGTTTGATATATGTGAAAGCAATACCAAAAAACTTTATATAACTATTTATATTTATAGAACTAGTACTTAATTTCACTTTGGGATTAATAAAGTATTCCATCCATCCATTTTCTTTACACCCTTGTCCCTCAGTGGGGTCGGGAGGGTTGCTGGTGCCTGTCTCCAGCTAACGTTCTGGGTGAGAGGCGGGGTACACCCTGGGCAGGTCGCCAGTATGTCACAGGGCAACACAGAGACACACAACCATGCACACACACACCTAGGGGCAATTTAGAGAAACCAGTTAACCTGACAGTCATGTTTTTGGAATGTGGGAGGAAACCAGAGTACCCAGAGAAAACCCACACATGCACAGGGAGAACATGCAAACTCTATGGAGAAAGACTGGTTCTGGGAATTGAACCCAGAACCTTCTTGCTGCAAGGCAACAGCTCTACCAACTGCACCACTGTGCAGCCCATTAATAAAGTATTTTGGAATTTAAATTGAATTGAGAACCAAACACAGGTTAACTTTCTAAAATAAAATAAAAATACGTAATTTTCCCTACACTTCAAAATTATGTACTTATTGCATAAATCCATCACATAAAAGCCCAATGACATACAGTCATATTCAATAAATCTAAATGTGTATTTTGTTGAGGTTTGTTAATAAGAAATGAATGTTTTCTTATCTTTACAAAACTATCAAGAATACAAAAAACTGGTCTGATTAGTTACAGTGCACAACTGAATGGATAATTTG